AGGAAAAAGAGTGCAGATTCGGAAAGCACCTCAAGCTCTATCAGATGCAGTGCCTGAGAGGAAACGGTCAACCCCCATGAACCCTGCAAATACAATTCGAAAGACACACTGCAGCAGCAGTGTTTCTCAGCGGCCATATAGGGACAGGGTGATTCACTTACTGGCACTGAAGGCCTACAAGAAACCTGAGCTGCTGGCTCGACTGCAGAAAGATGGTGTCAATCAAAAAGACAAGAACTCCCTCGGAGCAATTCTGCAACAGGTAAGAACAGCAGGAGAGAGTTCCTTCTACCTACCTTCTTATTGAGAAGTTCATTTAAGAAGGCTTGTTTTTGCTGTAACCATTATTATTACTGAGGTAGAGAAATTTCAGGACCATTTTTGCTATATGAAATATAGCTCCTGAATATTGCATTAAAGCATTTGTTTAAACACTTAATTAAAAACTAATTGAAATGTGGGCATTTATACTAGGATTTATAAGTTAGAGGCTTCTGAATTGTTAAACAATTAAAGTTTTGAGTCACTATCTTCATTTGGGTTAAATAAACTACCTTGAAATTTCATTTTAAAAAAGTAAGCAAGGCCAAAACCGGTTTGGCTCAGTGGATAGAGCGTCGGCCTGCGGACTGAAAGGTCCCAGGTTCGATTCCGGGCAAGGGCATGTACCTGGGTTGCGGGCACATCTCCAGTGGGGGATGTGCAGGAGGCAGCTGATCGATGTTTCTCTCTCATCGATGTTTCTGACTCTCTATCTCTCTCCCTTCCTCTCTGTAAAAAAAACAAATCAATAAAATATATTAAAGAAAAAAAGTAAGCAAGACTCTCTATTGTCTGTTTTTAATATTGAATCACCTAAATGATTGTCATAATTTTTATTAATTTATATAGGCAAAGTTGTACAATGTATTACCAGTCTTTAGTTGGTATAAACTACAATATTTTTACCTACTACATAGTGTCTTGCCCAGTATTCTACTATTGCTTAGGTTGAGATCACTTGTCTTCATTAAAGGATATGAGTGTATGAAGTATTAGTTCTGATCAGTTAATCTTACAATCACAAGCTTAATTATAAAAGTAGGTCATAAATTTTGTTAAAGTCAATGGTTTGGAACTTCCTATATTTTTTATACTGACTTGGGGTTATAAATGTTGATTAGCATTCAAATCCACCATAGATGATGTCCATCTGTGAACTTTTTTCTAAAGCAGAAACATTTCAAAGTTGTTCTTAAATTTCATCATTTAAAAAAAAACCACCCTGCAGGTTTTCATCTATTATTTAAAGAATAACACTTTTAAGTCTATTTTTATCTATTCTCTCTTACATTAAAGGCATGATACTAACTCTTATGAAAGAGTAAAAGCATAATCTCTAGTTTTGGGGTGTTATTAGCATGTGTAGTACCCCGGATAATAGGAACTCTAAGGATTGTTATATTACTTCACTTTGAGAAGTCTGGTATCTCATGTCAGTTTATTTGCAAATTTAAATTTAAGATAAGCCTACCATTATCTACTTTATGACAGTATTAACATATTAGTATTCTGCCGAGCTGTGAGAAAAGCATATACTATCCTACTATATTTAATAGTACTTACACAGAAGTCAAGTTATTAAAAAGAAGACCTTTCCAGTAGGAACTGACAAGAGGAATCCTTTTCTGCCAGCCTTAAAAATGACTCTCGGTTTGATTCCTCAATCAGTACATTTGTGTTTGTTAATAGAATCTAGGACTGGACACTCTAGGAATTGTAGTTAGGGGATAAGAAAAGATTACACTTGGGAATAAACTGGCAGACTAATAACAGTAATTGTATGTCATTTGAGGGTAATTTTGATTTGTTTCCATTTACTGGTTTTTGGAATTTCAAGGACTTTGAATAAGTGGTTCTTATTATCCAAGAAAATGACAAAGTTGTCAGAATTGATACTATTTATGGAGATAATTTCTGTTGATTACTGAAGGGAAAGTTTGTAACCTAACATTTGGGCACTACTTGGTTTCTACTTAATACAAGTGACTAAGGAATCAAAGTAGATAATAATGATAACAATGATGTTGATAATATAACTGCTTTTGGATTTCTTTGACTAGAAAAAATTTATTTAAAAAAATCTTCAACTTTTTGCCTAAAATCAGCTTACTATTTGATTAGAAATATGACAAGTGCAATGGCCATTTAGGGGGGAAATTCTTTTAGCTATTTACATAAAGTTTTAATTCCCCAAATAAAGTTGAACAGCATTTATTGAGAGCATGTATATGCAAATGAGCAGTCCCTCTGTGGCCAATTGATGCAGTTATTTTCAATATAACTCCAAAAGGTTACCTGTTTTAGGTTAGTAAAGAGCAAAAGAATCTAATATTCTGTTCTGTTTTCACACCATGTATCAGGTAGCTAATCTGAATCCTAAGGACCTCTCGTATACCTTAAAGGATTATGTTTTCAAAGAGCTTCAGAGAGATTGGCCTGGATACAATGAAATTGACAGACGTTCATTAGAGTTTGTGCTCTCAAAGTAAGTTTCTTTTCCTTTAAAAATGATGCATATAAGATTATTTTAGTCATTGTTATTTTAGTGTTGAGCTGGGAAAAGAGAAGCAAGGGTAAGCTTTCTATCATGAAAATTCTCTCCATAACTGGAACATGTGTATCCTTTACAGAAAACTAAATGCATCTCAGAATGCTGCCAGCACCAGGCGTTCAGAATCTCCTGTATGTTCCAGTAGAGACATTGCTTCTTCTCCTCAGGTATTTCATAGAATTACAGTCATAGTCCTAAACGGACCTTTGGGGCATCTAGTTCAGTTCCTGTATTTATATGTGAGGGAAGTGAGGCCACAGAAGATGCGTTGCTTGTCTGCCCAAACTCACATTGCTAGTTTATGGCAGAACTCGGTCTGGAATTCAGGTATCATCTCTCAGTCCAGAACTGTTCTCCACTGTACTACAGTTCTTATCAAAGTACTTAATGTTTACCTTGCTTTTCCATTTTGAAAGCTTACATTTTGTAAGATTATCTACTTTTCCATTTGGTCACTAACTTGAAGACCTATCCAATACTATATATAGTCTCATATTATATAGAAAATTGAATATATTTAATTTTATTTGAAACATGTTCCAGAAAAATATTCTTGGGGGAAAACTATGTTTAAAACAAGCAAGCAAAAAATTCTTGCCATTTTTATTTTCTGAAAATAATTTCAATTAGATCCCAATCAGAACGCGGCAATTAGAAATTTAATCTGGCTTAGTTTCCCCTAAGCAATTCAGTTTGTCTTGGAAAAAGGTACGGAGATCCTGGAGAGTATTAGAGTTCAAGCCTGCTTGGTTCTCAGAAGGCCCGGCCAGCCTTGAACTCTCAGTTTCAAAGGTCTTTGGGACTGACAGTGGGACAGACCTCTTTATCCCATACTACTGACAGAATGCTCCTCTCTCTGGACTCCCCTTCCAAGGATTAGAGAGGCAGGACAGATGTGTGACAAGCCGCAAGCATGCTCTGGGTAAAGAAAATATTAGCAGCCTGTTGTGAGGAACAGAGGAGGAACAAAATAAAAGCATTTCTGACCTTGCATGTACATTATCTATAGAAGCCTCAATTGTAATGCCACTTACCATGGAGCTGGTTATATTTCTGACCTGATTATATACTGGGTGCCATATCAATGGTGCTAAATTGAAAACAGATTAAATTAATGGGATGATTAACTTATTTTATCTCAAGCTGCAGTTTAAGCCAAAGTATTTCATTGGATGTATGCTTTATACTTTTTAATTATCCGAATTTTCTTTTTAATTTAAATATTAATGTTGCTGGATTGGGCTTATCTTAGCATGATTTTTTAAGTGTTTGAAACAGTAATTCCATATCATTTTTATGGACCAGTTATTAAGACTTATTTTT